AACAAAGACATGTAAAAATAAATGATATTCAGTCCCATCATCAAGGCTTAATACTTAATATTCCAAGTCGTGATCGCTTAAGATTCTATAGCTCGAATCGGATACCTTCTCGTAATGCTTGTTCTACTTCCGCTGTGTAACTGGGTAATGCGCATGTTATTGCCACATAAATCTACAGTGAAAAACAATGACGCATTCTCTACAGATTATCCAAATAAGCTTATTTACTTTTTCTGACCGATCGCTTGAGGATGATGTCTCTCAGCACGATTTTTCTACAAGAGTAAACAAGACGGATTAGCCGATTCCTATACTAAAATATGAAAAACGTACCCGTTTAAATAAAAGAACTGCTTCGGTGTAGTTCAACCGATCTTTAAAATTCACAAACTCTTTGATATTTGGACTTCATGATATTAGTGCACTGATCCATCGTACAACATTGATATCAGGATAATGAAGTAGTGTACGAACGACTTCTACTCGTCCCAGTAATGCAGCAAAATGAAGCGGTGTTGCTCGAAAATTTTTAATAGCATTTGATGAAAAACGTTTAGAACGTAACAAAAGTTCAACAATACGATAATGACCCTGCCTAAAACAAAAATATATATATTGTAAAATGATAAAAACTCCAGAAAAATTTTATAATCATGCAACGTGGACATTCATCAAGATTATTTAGATTTAAAAAAATGGCAGTTTTATTTCTCTTTCTCTTCAACTAAAAATTAAAATATATTTTCTTACATGTGTGATTCAACATCCATCATTCACTAATAATTCATCAAAAGTAAACTTGTAACAATAATATCGCAATGTTCATCATCATCTATATCATCAAACAGTAATGTGAGTGATAATGATTTAATAGGATGAAGAGAAGGTGTTGACTATGAAAATAAAGCAGTAATAATAATCTAAAACAAGTTGATGAAAGACATGATTTTTTTCCTATTTAACATAAAAAAAGTATAGTACGTATATTTATACTTTACTATAAATACAAGGTAACATGAATACTAGTCATACCCAGGGCGAAGAATCTTGAAATATGATCTTGTAAGATCATATTACAAGATACCACAAGATTTCACAAGATTTTTCTTGCAGCAGATCTTGTAAGATCTTGTTTGATCAACAAGGAGTGACAAGATCTTACAAGATCATTTGGAAAAAGTACTAAAGAGCATGATTGATGCACCCCCTGAGAAACCTGCTGAAACCTTATTACAAGATCTTGCAAGACCATATAAAATGTGTATCTAGCGTCCTCCTGTCCTTATATTTTGTTTCTGTTTGCCTATCCCTTGATGTCAATTGCGTGAAACCGCTTTCATTGCCCATCCATAAATAACCAAGTAGGATAAACACACTGGAAAAGCGGAACCCAACTCCCTGAAAAGGAACAGGTTCCACGCTTTTCATTGGAGGTGTGGAGATTAGAAGCACAACTAGAGTTGTGTATTAATATGAAAATAAAACCAAAATATTAACCAAGAAGAACGACATATCTTACTTCCAGATAATTATAGGAATTGTGCAAACATTCATAAATGTTATCTCCTTACGACACCAATCGGAACACACTAGAGTGAAACATTTATTGACGAATGATACAATGACGATAAGTTATAATACACGATACAGTCGATTGGCACGAACAATGTGTTTGATGATCATAGATTTCCTGTCTGTGCACAAATCCTGAAGCCCAATTTGTCGAACAGTTTTCTCTTCGGCGAATAGACTAAGCGCAACGTCGATATTGTAATAATAGACAATTAAATCGCCAAAATATCTTGTTCCATCTAAACATCCAAAAAGTGAAGATAATTAAACTGGAAAAAAGCCACTCACGTTTATTCGATGCGACATAGCCAATTAAATCTTCTTGGCCAAGTGTGTTGACGTAAGGAAGACCACCATGTAGCGCAAATAAATCGGGAAAGTGAACATGTAAATCAAGAACGAAATTTTGCAGATAATTAAAAAATTTTCCATGATCACGATAATAAGTCGTTAACAATAGATCACCAACTGCAGTTGTTGTTACCCATATAACAATAGATTTCTCAGCTCAGTCGCTTTAATGGAAACAACATCAATATCCGACGTGACCGATACAATTTAGAATTAACTTTAATACTGGACAGTCGCCGATCACGCCATAATATTTGACGTTGTAGGACACACATGGCGTCTGAAATTTTTGGTTCAGTCGTTGCAGAACTGTTGTCAATAACGGACAATAGTCGGCATCGTAAATCAATGCGATATGTTCTGGCTCAGCATTCGGACAAGTTGGACATTTTGTTGCTGCATTATTCAAGCCAGTTTTGCATAAAGTGCATATTGTTCGTTTAGTGAAATTATTGATAACATCGAACGAGGCTAATAAATCTTCTAATTTTGACAGGAGGGTGTTCGGTTCAGGTAGTCAACTTTTAATAATTTAAAAAAACGCCCTCTCCGTGAGATGTAAACACTCTGGCATGGCGGAGCCATCGAAGTAAAGTATCAGTAGCTGTATTCGTACGGATGTTGGTGTACTCGTGAAGACGTGGATATTAATTAGGCAGATCGGTTTCGTCATCAGTTCCAGTCTGATGTAATGATGACTTGTCCTCGTCGTCGTTTAGCAAAATGAATTTCGGCTGATCCTCAATATACGCTATTTCGTCATCCGATTGATAATCGTCGTTGTCAATTTCTATGGCTTGAATTGCTCTGCTGTTGTTAAGTTCTTATTCATTTTTGCCCATATAAGCCGGTGCCGATAGTGTTCACGCGAAGTGTAAGCTACGAAGCACTGGACTTCGGGGAACAAAAAGTGCAAATGAAGGTAGCGGTTCTACAATCCCAACGACAAACTTAGAATAGTGAAAGAAAGCACATTGCGTTGCATCTTTTATTTATCTTTTAAAATCATGTAAAAAAGCAAACAATATTATTGTAACACAATTTGTCTGTTTCTATTTATTTTACAATAAATAAGCTTAAAAAAACAAAATACGATAAAAAACCAGCGCGACTCAGCGAACCTTCTAGTGCTCAGCACATAAAATCTAAAAACTTTTCTTAAGCAAAGATAGGAGAAAAATATCACAGATATCACGCTTTGATCAGCGAAGAATAAAATCAATATTTCTACTAGATTGTGGTCTAACAATTGTTGTTGTTTTTGTTTCCATTTTATTTTCTTGTTCTGGATCATAAGCATATTCAATATCTGTAATCATAGCTTTTCCTAATAATTTTGTGCTTCATGTAATTCAGCCATTGTACCTAAATTACAGAGAGAAATAGACAATAGATATACGTGTATTTATGAACCAGTAATTAGTTACGATTTGTTCATTTTTCTTTAGTTTTTCTGCTTTGTCCACAACATAGTATAAAGAAATATATCGATCAGAACTGTTACCACTTTTGTTCGCGTTGTGAATAGGAGTATCCATTTTATAGATTCTTTATTCTTATTGTCATGTTTCAACGTCCTCTTCTATCCTCTATTTTTCAAAATGACCGTTCACGAGCCAGGACTGTACACATGTTTAAATAAAAACTCCGTCAGAAAATGAAGGAAAAAAGAGTTCTAAGTTGGTTTGCTGTGCTTGTAAAAATATCGTAACTAGAATAAGAGCATTTGAATCGTCATTCCCCACTCATTTAATAAAAATTGTAAAGTCTGTTTCCCATCATTACTCAGAA